GTTAACTACGAGATTATTACGAGCGTAACAAGTTTGTACCGAATTAGATATGAGTTAGGTACGAGCCAACTCGGTGCGCTCGTACTTACTCGTACTCGTTTTTGGGTGCTCGCATCAAACTCGTAGATGACAAAACCGCCGACGAGTATCCAGAGTAGTGTACGAGCTAGGTAAGAGTACCCCGAATACTCTGCGAGCTACCTACGAGTTCTTCGAGTTTACTACGAGTTATCTACTCGTGGCGATAATTTTGAACATGTTCAAAATTAGCGCCACGAGTTCAGAGCTGCTACGAGTAGGTAAGAGTCCTCTCCGAGCTTTCCGAATCGTCCTACGAGTTTTTGCCGAGTTAGCAACTCGGCATTCTCTTGTAACTCGTATGCTGAAAAAAACCCTAGTGGGAGAGGGAAAGCATCATTCCAAAAAAAGAAAAAAAAAATCAAACAATGCAATGGATAAATCCACTAAAAAAAGGAAATAATTTAAATTAAACAATGCAAAGGATTACATTAATTTGTAAGTCTGGGAAACCTTTGAAGTCAGTCATTAACAGTTCAATAATTTATAAGTCCGATTGAAATGTCAAACAGGAAACAAGAATTTGCTAAAAGAAATTGAATTTTAAGTTTGAAAAAATGTTCAGCAGTATATTCTTTCCTTACAAACGGTATTACAAAATCACTTTATATAATTTTGTTCATTATTTTATCATATTAATAAAATACATTTTATAATTATTAGTATTATATTATTATCATAACCTCAAGTTTCAAGATTTGGTCAAATAATAAAATTATAATATCACCGATACTCAGTAACCTAATTACTTAAAGAATGAAAATGAAGTATAAATTATCTCGAATGTCCTGAACTGTTGAATAAACTGTGATTAAACCAACATAGAACTACAGACATTATTTATTCCGTTACAATTATTAACATCAATTAATTATAGAATCATTATATATTATTACACGTTGGGAAACCTATTATCCAATATGTTGGGTGGTGTCCTGTAAATCAGAATAAAAGGTTTGTCAAGATTAAGAAGAGTAGCCACACATATTCAAGTTATTATGACCAGTAGTGTGTATGGCAGGCTGTGTTTACACCAGTCTTAAACCCGGTTCTTAATTCTGATTGGATGTTACCGTATTTATGGATTAGATTACGACTATAACATGCAATCCGAACTAAGAATTGGTTTAACGCTGGTGTAACAAATGCCTTGTACAAACGTGTGGACCATATATGATCCATTTTGCGATTATGAAACCCCCACACATAAAACGGAACAACGCAATCAATACAGCACGAGATGACCTCAATTAGCTAAGTTGAAGTAGCAAAAATAGGAAAACGGGGTTGGGGTGGGGACTGAAGACCTATCACTCCAAGGGAATCTTTATGGCACATTTTCAAGTATTAAAACTATTTATCAGCTAATGAACGATTAATTACCAGAAAAAATCGTACTAGTAAATAAATAGTATATGTAAACAGTTATTAAATAATATACTTTATAATTAAACTACAGGTGTTGGAAGACGTGAGTCTTCTTTCGAAGTTAAAGTCAAGAGGGTGCAATTCCTCAATTTTCGTTGTCACTCATGAATTGAGAGAGCGGGGTTATGTCGAATCTATTATCATTTATTGTAAAAAATACTTGATGGAAGGTTTAATTTTTGTGGATCGTAGCTACGTCATCAACAATCTATTTAATCGCTCAGTCGGTCTCTTTTTCGTATCGTGATTCCCAGGCCAATTTTAATTAAGCATTATTCAAATGAAATGGAAAAAAATGTATTTAAATAATAAAATAAACCGATGAATCCATCATTCTCATTATATAGGCAATATTCAGTACATATTATTTATTTATAGATTTACAGTATTAGACATCTGGATAATAGACTAACTTTAACAATTCTAGAATTTTCCTTGAGGGCGTAATCACCGTGACGAGCAAGAAGTCAACAGAATTTTCATTGTAGATTATATTGGTGATTTCTAATTACTTATGTAAGAAAGTATTGTTTTTGTAATACCATTAGAAACAATAACTATATTTATTTCTTTAAATTCAATTCGCGTCAGTAAAAGTTAGGATAAGGAATTCAAAGTACCTGGTTGTTTCTCAGGCCTATAGACTATAGGCTAGCTAGTGCAGGCCCTCAGTGTAAGAGGAGCTAACTACGCCTAGCTTAAGCCTAGACAGCCTAGACTTTGTTAGGTCTAACTGAGAATAATGAAAGCTTACATGTGTATTTATTAACGTGAGAAACGGTGGATTTAGACTCGCTTTTAAGGACTGTATTACTAATACAAACCAGCCTAGACTTTGTTAGGTCTAATTCTAAACTGAGAATAATGAAAGCTTACATGTTATATTAACGTGAGAAACGGTTGATTTAGACTCTCTTTTAAGGACTTTATTACTAATAAATAGATACGTATTTATTAACCCAATAAGAGAAATTCTATAATTACCCATCTGTTTAAATTGTAATCAATTATTTTATTAAATTTGTACTGCAAAAAAAAACATCAAGTTCTCTTGATTTTTTCTCTCTGTAGTACTGTATCCTTCTTATACAGAGGTAAATTTTAGAAGATAAATAGCAAAAATGCCAACTATTGAGGAGGTGCCAGACGATACAACTCCAACGAGTACAACCAACGGCTCCAATGGGCAACAACAGCAGCAGCAGCAACAACAACGCAGTTGGGGAGTCGTCAGTGTATGTATATTAATCCTTTATTTATATTTAAATAATAGATGAATCACATCACACCCATAGGAATGATGATGTCATATCTCACACAAATATGGGTCCTATAGGAGACTAAACAGCTTGATGCTAGACAGGTTTTGCAGTATATTTGAGAAATTGGTATATTTTAAAGATATTTCAGTTTTAATAATCAGTATTTGATAAAAACGGAACAACAATTCCAGTTAAACATAATTAATATTGTAATCATTATTTGTCAACATTTAGAGCCACCTTCTTGCAAATAAGGTTGACTGTGGAATGTGGTTATCTCGTATTTCATGTGTTGTATTCTGCATTATGTACATCCTGCCATTCTCTAGGTAAGTAAGATTGATTGATTGATAGAATATATATTGTCTATACTGCCAATTGGGTGGAATGATTCTTTGTCTCTCTAGGAGGCCCTGAGATTGGAAGGCAAACATCTTAAGCACCAATCTATTAAACTCCACTCTGTAAACCGCTCCCCCCTCCATTTCAAACCAACCGAATATGCCGAATACATTAATTGAAACATCTAATCTCTAATGAGCTGATAATTACAGCCCCTCTCTCCCAATCAGTAATTGATTAATAGTTTAATCATCAATGTTTTTATTTTCGGCAGCCGTGAAGAAAGCTACAGTTACTACCAACGTGCACTGATCTGTAATGCGCTGACCAGCGCCCTGCGTTTACACCAACGTATGCCACCCTTCCAGTTCACCCGCCAATACCTAGGTCTGTTGCTTATAGAGGACAGCTGTCATAATCTACTTTATTCACTGATATTCATCAATGGGTCAGCCATTACAAGTATCCTTATTATTTGTAGTAATGCTTTAGGGAGGTGGTGGTTTATTGAGCTTTATGCACGAAGGCCAGGGATATGCCAAACATACATACACCAAGTGTCATTATGAAGCTTAGGGAGTGGAGGTGTTTTGGTTGTGAGAAAAAAATCTTGTTACCATGACAGGAATTGATCCCAGGACCCTGGGATTGGAAAGCAAGCATCTTAACCAACAAGCTATTCAACTCCACTGGTTTAGGGGGGAGGGGAGCATGTGTGATCAGTTTCTTAAATTTTTAAAATTGAACTTCATTTACCGAGGTTGAGCCAAAATAATCACATAAGCTAAACAGATGTACAATAAAAAATAAATCAGTAATTGAATTGTTTAGTTAAATCCTTAACATATTCCTAGTTGCTTTGATTCCTGTATTTCTATTCAGCCTTCTACATTCAGCAAATTACACCAGGAAATTGCTTGATGTAAGTATGTGTGTTGTAATGTATACGTAATTCTTCAAAATATTCATATCGACTAAACATCATGCCAAACAAGATACATACAAAATATATTTACAGTATTTTTATTTATTTTATGAGGCTTAGCATCGCAAAATCAGCATCATTGACCAAAAACTAAAATTTACTTTTTAATATATTCATATATTTTCTACATTATAAGCTTTAAAATGGCAAGTCATTTACTGGAACCAACTTACTATTGCTAAAGTTATGAGTAAAAGTATTACAGCTTCTCTGTCAGTGTGGCCACTGTGTCAAACGAAATTATGCCATTGGCTGGAGTAAAATTATGCTACCGATGCTACGCCTCAAATAGTGGATATAAACATGACTCCCGTGGATTTAACAAACATTTTGATACTTAGATACACAACAATTCAAAATAGCATATTGTGCTAAAATCAGATTTAACATGTTCGTTGCCACACTCCCTTACCTAATTGCATTCCTAGGTGAGGTGAGAAAATTTTAAAAATAGGCACCTCTAGATGCTCGGAAATGATATTTTTTTTGCAATTTATTTTTCTATATGATATTACGCGTAGCATTAATGCTTCATGCTACGGGTTCCAAATTATGCTACGAATAGCCACTGTGTTTTCTGTACTAAAGTATACAATACTGCCTCATTCTTATGCTAATTTCTCAGGTTAACATTTAGCTATAGTACGCTGGTTTTTGGGATGGCGTGGCATATTATTAAATTTGCAGTTTGGGGGCGATGCGGACTAAACATGATAAGGACGGGGTGATTGTAAAGCGTCATGGGCCAGGAAATATTCTATAGTTAGTGAACCTGAGAAAAATTACGTCGTGAAGCAAGAGATGCTCAAAAGAAATCAGAAGACGGGAATTACTATGGGAGTGGACCAAATAAACTATGCATTGATGGCATAAATTTAGATTTTCATTTCTTTTTTTTTTTTTTGTAGAAAGCTGGCCCCAACTCTGTACCTGTGCTGAGAAATTTGATCAACAAGCTGGTAATTAGGCAAACAGAAATACTTCGCATTATTGCCTTCAATGAGATCATCTTGTTCCCGTTCCTCTTTTTCATGTTGTTCTAGTAAGTACATGTTTAAGTTCATATTCTTTACGGAAAAAATTTACAAAAGTTGAAAATGGTAATTTCCAAAACTACCTTAAATCTACCTAAACAGCAATACCAAAACAAAGGATTTAAATCACATAACTTGTTGCTGTGGCAGATTCAAGGGAGCCCCAGCCAGCATGAGGACCTCCTACATTTTTCAAAATTATAACAAAATTTAGAAAAAAATAAAATTATATTCAAATTTAGGTTAAGAGTGCCATTTCCAGCCATATTCATGAATTTTGTTGCCTCAGCCCCAACTATGGTGGGGCTGAGGTGGTCTAGATCCTACATCTGTAAAATTCCCTCCCTGGGCCCCCTCTATTTCAGATTCCTGGATCAGCCACTGCAATATAGAGCAACAGGTTAGATTTCTGATGGGGACAAAATAATGTTCTTTTAGCCTAGATCTTCTTCTTACAGATTAACTTTATGTGAATGATTGTAAATAATATTAGAAGTAATTTACAATGCTTAGAGTATTTCTTAATATTTTCGGTTTTTTTCTTTCAGTGGTAAATGCAGTCTTTTAGCACCTTTCATGCATTTTAATTTCTTGGTGTATCGTTATGCATCACGCAGGAATCCATACACCAGGTAGATATTCCAAGTAACTACTTAATATATATATATATATTATATATTGTATTATAGTTTTTGATTATATTAATAATATTACAAATTACCCTCTACAGATTTATCAATTACCACATAGCAAAATTTGTCACCGTTCCAAAATGATTGTTATTAATTGTTATAATTTCAGACAAATTATGGGAGAGCTGCGTATGAAAGCTGAAGAATTCGGAAGACGTCCATCAACTCCAGGATTCATTAAGACTACTATTGACAAGTTGGTGGCGCTGTTTTCAAGATTTGCAGTGCCAATGAACGGTCAAAGATAAACATCTACAGATTTCCTCCCTGAAGAGCTGTTTTGAAGTTGTGTTCGTTTTGGTTGCCCTGTTTTGTTTATATTTAGGATCCGATGGTTAAGAACAATTTCGTGCAATACAAAGCTATGATCAATAGTAGCGTTAACTATTACATCATCATTGGTTGTTTACCGTAGCATGTGCTGGGACTACAGTAATTATTGACCTAGCTAGACGACTACCGGTACTTACTTTGTTTATGTGAACAACTGTCTTAACAAATAAGTAAACAAACTTAAGGAAAATAAAATGGTTTTATTTGTTCACAATTTATTAAATCTATACCTCATAGATTTTCAAAAAGTAAAAAAAATTGTAGATCAGATTCTTCAATATTATACTAGGCACTTACAGTATTTTATATGTATATTATTGACTAAAATGTTGAAAAATAGAAGATTCATGTAACTATTAGAAATTCTGTTTAGTTTTGTAAGTGAAATTGTTTGTAAATACACAACTGCAGTTTAAAATCGTATGAAAAGCAAAATCGTATGGTGTTATATCAAGGGTGAGTGATATATTTTGAGTTATTAAATGGTGCTTTTAAGTCAGGCAAAATTTAAATAAAATGTTCCATAAAACAGTGGATTTCTGGCAGGGAGAACAGTAACTGTATCGTATTCACTCATTCATCTATTTTGCTAAAATAGAAATGACCTAAACTTTGAATTGCTTAACTATATAAACAATTTGAATTTTAGTTACGGACCTTTCTGGAATGTCAATCAAACTTATGAACTGACCAATGAGAATAGAGCCAGGAATGTGTGTGTTATCCCACAAACATGCGTATGTACATTTACGCAATTGTTTTGTGGCACCTTAGAAAATATTTTCCGGTATGCACAAATTTGATGTTTCAGGACATTTGTTATACTTACGTATTATGTGACATTTGGCATATTTAATTGGGATTTATCTGTTGAGTATGTTAGCCATGTTAAGTTCAAACTCAACTAAGTATTTCGAATGTTAAGTACAACCTCAACGAAAAAGTTACCATTATTTAACCAACCGAATACGGAAAGTACTCAACAGATATCTGTTGAGCACGATAGTTCCCATTCAAATGCGACAAAGTACAGTGGAAATGTCCAAGTTTGCACAGATTTGATATTTGATTGTTATATTGTGTACTATGTGACGTACAGTATTTGGTTGTGAAATGTTGTCAATTCGTTGATTAGTGTCAACAAGCCAGTGGATTATTATAAGAAAGTTGTGAGTTTTTAAACTCTTTTTCTTGCAGTTTCTGCTCTGGATATTTTGAAATTGTATTTCTGCAGTAACTGATGCTTGAAAAGGTCCAACAACCTATCACTGAAGATCTATGCAAATGAGAGAATAGGACAGGTGGATCTTTTGATTTTAATATACCTTTAAAAAACTGTATGCATCTGAAAAGCACAATGATAGAATTTGATTCCTTTATTAATTTAAATTATGATTTTTAAGAACACAGAATGGTAAAATTCTTTTAATATGTTTGATTGAAAATAGCTATTAAATATACTGTGTGTAAATACATATTTGATGAAATTTTTCCTTTTGTAAATTAGAAATTATTCCTGAAAAAAAGTAACGTGATTAAATAAATTTAATATTTCAAGACACACAGTCCTATAATAAAACGCAAAAGATTTCAAATAGAGCGAACAATTGAAAGGGAAATTACATAAAAATCAATTTAAAACTGGAATTTGAAAATCATAAAAATAAAGAGTTTTGGTAATTTTAACATGGAATACAGAAATACCAAAAATTGCTAAAAAAAAAAAAAAAAAAAAAAAAGAAAAACCAAAACATGGACCTAATTAAGCATTCTTAAAGGTTACTGAATGAACATGAGGAAATGTCATGATGATGCTAATAAAATGTTTATTTAGATGATGGATATCTATTTCTTAGTGTGTTATTTATTTGTCGGATTTATATAACACTGACAAACCCACACATCAGGGATTGTTTTAGCAGCAAATGGACTGTACGTATATATATATATATATATATATATATATATATATATATACATACATATACATATACCGTATATACATATATACATATACATACATCAAGATCTGACGTCAGGCAAGAAGTCATTTAGCCTTTCTCAAACAAAGCTGCATGTTTAAGTACAAAGACAAATGATATACGTAATTATAATGCGCCTTTGGAAAAATATATTTCTTCACAATGAAATTCACTCACCAAACTGTCTACTTAAATCATAAACCGCTACATATATATCTTCATAATTACGTACACAACAACCCCTACAACAACTCCTAAAACCATATTTCCTTTAATATCACTGTACAAGACATCACACCTTTCCTAACTGTTACGTGAACATAACAATGATGATGCATACAACTACTATAACTTCATAACAATTATAGATTTTCTTACCTCAGCCCAACCATGGTGGGGCTGATCCCCGTGGTGGATTCAAGGAGGGTCGAGTTGACCCAGGGCCTCATAAAAGTTGAGGAAAAAACAAAACACAGTAATCAGTCGATTCTGAAATTAAAACTTTTGCCAATTTTCTGCAAAAAACGTAAAAGTTTTGCGTTCTGTGGCACCTACAACTGCTTTAAAAAAGTGATTTCTATTCAGGCCTATTATTATTCAAAGTCTCGACTCTTCATTTGGCTAGAAGTTTAGATAGAAACGCCCTCTACACAATTCCAATTGTATCATATTCATCATTTGCATATTTTATAATATATTTTAACACGATTTTAGTAGCCTTTATTTTTATATGAAATATAAAGTACTTTAAGATAATACTAAATGTTCATTAAAATCACTAGTCATTATTTTCAAAAATAAGGCAATAAAGCAATCGCTGTACAATAATAACTAAACAGGCCTCGTTGATTGCTTCTACAGGTAATAACACCAATACCATACGTACAATTGAACCAAATATATTCTAATCACATGCAAGTCTTAATCACCTGACTCTCTCCCTGACGGGTTCCGGGGTCGACGAGGCTTCTTGTCGGTAATACGCCGGTAACCCTCCGCTGAGTCTGGACTCGGGCCTTGGCGAAGACCCGAGCCTTGGCGAGGTTGAGTACTTAGCCCTGCGGCATCGTACATTCAGGGAACGGTGAAATCATTGTTCCCTGGTACCATGATCGCTTGGCGGTGATACTTGACAGGACTAGGCGATTAACAGACTGCAGGGGAGATGCACAGGGAGTCTCGGTCAACTGACAGGCACTCGGGATGGCATGCTAGGTTCAGTGCATCATCATGGCTTAGGGGTCGCACTGCTTCCTCCCTCCGTTCAGTTGGCTGGGGCCGAGCAAGTAGTTCCATCGTGCATTTAAGTGACCAGCGTACGAGGAGCGAAAACTTGAATACTAAAGAACAGAACACATTTACTTGCAACTTGTGGGAATAACGTTAGTGTTAGTGTGGGAACTAATTTTATGTTTAGGTTTAATGGTATGGGTGTTAAGTTATTGGTTACGGTTAGTGTTGGAATTAAGAGATGTTCTTTATATTTCATCTAAAATAAAAACTACTAAAATCACACAACTTATGAATATGCAACAATTGTAGGCCTACATTTGTAGAGGGTACCTATAGATCACAAGAGTCCACTGTAGTTTGATAAATGCCACTTAAATCCTCGTTTTAGGCTTAAATAACGATAAATAGGATGATATTCAATTAGGCCCATTTGGCCGAATCTAGGAAAAACGACCAGGTTAACAATTGACCGATTTTCGTAAAAACCATGAGCTATAGCTCATACTTTTTTTGGACGATTTTTTGACCCCGCCATTTTCTAGTTGTTTCGTATTCCATGACACCTACAGATCACAAGAGTCCTCGGTAGGTTGATAAATGCCACATAAATCCTCGTTTTAAGCTTAAATAACGATAAATAGGATGATATTCGATTAGGCCCATGTGGCCGAATCTAGGAAAAACGACCAGGTTAACAATTGACCGATTTTCGTAAAAACCATGAGCTACAGCTCATACTTTTTTTTGGACGATTTTTTTTACCCCGCCATTTTCTAGTTGTTTCGTATTCCATGACACCTACAGATCACAAGAGTCCTCGGTAGGTTGATAAATGCCACTAAAATCCTTGTTTTAAGCTTAAATAACGGTAAATCAAATGATACTCAATTAGGCCCGTGTGGCCGAATCTAGGAAAAACGACCAGGTTAGAAATTGGCCAATTTTCGTTAAAATCATGAGCTATGGCTCATACTTTTTTTTTTGGACGATTTTTTTGACCACAACATTTTCTAGTTGTTTCGTATTCCATGAAACCTACAGATCACGAGAGTCCTCTGTAGGTTGATAAATGCCACTTAAATCCTCGTTTTAAGCTTAAATAACGATAAATCGGATGATACTCAATTAGGCCCATGTGGCCGAATCTAGGAAAAACGACCAGGTTAAAAATTGACCGATTTGCGTAAAAAACCATGAGCTATAGCTCATACTTTTTTTTGGACGATTTCATTGACCCCGCCATTTTCCAGTTGTTTCGTATTCCATGAAACCTAGAGATCACAAGAGTCCTCTGTAGGTTGATGAATGCCACTTAAATCCTCGTTTTAAGCTTATATAACGATAAATCGGATGATACTCAATTAGGCCCATGTGGCCGAATCTAGGAAAAACGACCAGGTTAGAAATTGGCCAATTTTCGTTAAAACCATGAGCTATAGCTCATACTTTTTTATGGACGATTTTTTTTTACCCTGCCATTTTCCAGTGGTTTTTTATTCCATAACACCTAAAGATCACAAGAGTCCTCTGTAGGTTGATAGATGCCACTAAAATCCTCGTTTTAAGCTTAAATAACGGTAAATCAGATGATACTCAATTAAGCCCGTGTGGCCGAATCTAGGAAAAACGACCAGGTTAAAAATTGGCCGATTTTCGTAAAAAACTATGAGCTATAGCTCATACTTTTTTTTGGACGATTTCTTTGACCCCGCCATTTTCCAGTTGTTTCGTATTCCATGAAACCTAGAGATCACAAGAGTCCTCTGTAGGTTGATGAATGACACTTAAATCCTCGTTTTAAGCTTATATAACTATAAATCGGATGATACTCAATTAGGCCCATGTGGCCGAATCTAGGAAAAACGACCAGGTTAAAAATTGGCCAATTTTCGTTAAAACCAGCTATAGCTCATACTTTTTTATGGACGATTTTTTTTACACTGCCATTTTCCAGTTGTTTTTTTATTCCATAACACCTACAGATCACAAGAGTCCTCTGTAGGTTGATCAATGCCACTAAAATCCTCGTTTTAAGCTTAAATAACGGTAAATCAGATGATAATCAATTAGGCCCATATGGCCGAATCTGTGAAAAACGACCAGGTTAAAAAATGGCCAATTTTCGTAAAAGACCATGAGCTATAGCTCATACTTTTTTTGGACGATTTTTTTTACCACCCTTTTTTCCAGTTGTTTTGTATTCCATGACACCTACAGATCACAAGAGTCTGTAGGTTGATAAATGCCACTTAAATCCTCGTTTTAAGCATAAAAAACGATAAATCGGATGATACTCAATTAGTCCCATGTGGCCGAATCCAGGAAAAACGACCAGGTTAAAAATTGACAAATTTTCGTAAAAACCATGAGCTATAACTCATACTTTTTTTGGACAATTTTTTTTACCACCCTTTTTTCCAGTTGTTTCGTATTCCATGACACCTACAGATCAAAAGAGTCCTCTGTAGGTTGATAAATGCCACTTAAATCCTCGTTTTAAGCCTAAATAACGATAAATCGGATGATACTCAATTAGGCCCATGTGGCCGAATCTAGGAAAAACACCAGGTTAAAAATTGGCCGATTTTCGTAAAAAACCATGAGCTATAGCTTATACTTTTTTTGGACGATTTTTTTGACCACGCCATTTTCCAGTGGTTTTGTATTCCATGACACCTACAGATCACAAGAGTCCTCTGTAGGTTGATAAATGCCACTTACATCCTCGTTTTAAGCTTAAGTAACGATAAATCGGATGATACTCAATTAGGCCCGTGTGGCCGAATCTAGGAAAAACGACCAGGTTAAACAATGGCCAACTTTGGTAAAATCCATGAGCTATAGCTCATATACTTTTTTTTTGGACGATTTTTTTTTGTCCACGCCATTTTCCAGTGGTTTTGTATTCCATGACACCTACAGATCACAAGAGTCCTCTGTAGGTTGATAAATGCCACTTAAATCCTCGTTTTAAGCTTAAGTAACGATAAATCGGATGATACTCAATTAGGCCCGTGTGGCCGAATCTAGGAAAAACGACCAGGTTAAACAATGGCCAACTTTGGTAAAATCCATGAGCTATAGCTCATATACTTTTTTTTGGACGATTTTTTTGTCCACGTCATTTTCTAGTTGTTTCGTATTCAATGACACCTACAGATCACAAGAGTCCTCTGTAGGTTGATAAATGCCACTTAAAACCTCGTTTTAAGCTTAAATAACGAAAAATCGGATGATACTCAATTAGGCCCATGTGGCCGAATCTAGGAAAAACGACCAGGTTAAAAAATTGGCCAATTTTCGTAAAAACCATGAGCTATAGCTCATACATTTTTTAAGCTTAAATAACGATAAATCGGATGATACCTTCAGATCACATACTACCGAAAAGACAATGAACCATTCCGCTAAGCCCCAACCCTTAAAGGTATTGTGCCATAACAACTCTACATGCCTGGAAGTAGCATCTGGCAACCACTTCCCATAGTGGACGACTGGATACCTTACCCATGCTCTGCATGGTTGGGGCAAAGGGGGAGCAAATTTTGCTAAAATCAAAGATTTTTAAAAAGTTTAATTAATTCCTAACAGGAGCTTGAAATGCATAGGCTAATAGTGCAATACAAAAGTATATGGTGAAACATTTGAATGACAATGAAGTGCAAAAATTATTAATATATTTTTTAGGTAAAGTATGTATTTTTTTTAGGTAAAGTATGTATTTTTTAAAGTAATAAAAATATGAGAAGAATTGGTCCGGCCAAAGGTGGTGCGGCCTCGGCGGTTCCGACGGCCCTGATAGCTCAGTGGTTTTTTAAACGATTTTTTTTTTACCTCGCAGCTTTCAAGTTGTTTTGTGTTCTATGGCACCTAAAGATCACAGGAATCTTCTGGATGTTGATAAATGCATATATAACGATAAATCGGATGGTACTCAATTAGTTAAAATTTGCTACCAGGTACATCTCAATCCATCTTAACAGATTTCTACCAGTATAATAGCCTATTAGTTCTTAATGATGCGACGGAACAAGTTCTGATTGTGTGAGAGGCTATTAATCTTTAAAATTGTTTATCCGCATTCATCCATTTTTCGTTCGTTCATTCATTCATTCAATTACTATACTAATTAATTCACTCATTGATATTTTGCAGGTCAATTTATGTGTTTGCAACGTCTATTGTCAAGGTCCCTGTTTAGATGTCTGACCAGAGGGCGCTCTCCAGGTTCATGTCCAGACCCTGTCTGTATCTCCCCCCTCCCCTATGTCTCTATCCGGGTTCTTGCTGTGGTCCATGTCCAGGACCCTGTTTAAGTGTCTGTCTAGGTTGTTGATCAGATCCTTGTGTAGGTCTGTCCAGGTCCCTGTTTAGATCTCTGCCCAGGTCCCTCTTTAGGTCTCTATCCAGGTCCTTGTTCAAGTCCCCATTTAGGTCTCTGTCCAGGTCCCTGATTAGGTCTCTGCCCAGGTTCTTGTTCAGGTCCCTGTTTAGGTCTCTGTCCATGTCCTTGTTTAGCTTTTTTGTTTATGTCTGTGTCCATTTTGATGCAACTAATGTAAAAATTAGAAACATTAAATAATACTCAGGTGACATTAATTAGACAATGCTCATCTTCTCAGTCATACAAAACAATTAAATTTATTGTGCTATCAATTCGGCCATAATAAATTAAACTTTATATCAAGATATACCTGTCAACACACTTGCAGGACACTTGCTTGTTATCAGCAACAACATAATCATTTAAACTGACAATTAAAATATCCTAACATATAATTCGCAAAAAAAGAAGAAGATAAAATAATACCTAGTCTAGAAAACCACAACTTAATCAAGAAATACAAACTAATTATTGTTTCACATTATATCTCCCTAATTAACAAAATGTTAATACCTGTACCAACAATTCGTACTGTATGTAGTATTTACACTAAACCTAGCACACTTTATTTGATTGTCCTTTAATCAATTATAAATCAATCAATTAATTAATCAATCAATTTGCCAATTTACTCTATACAAATATTATTTATTAAAATTATGCATACACAGACTCATTTTGAACTTTTTGCAAATCAATTTCTATGAAGATAATGATGAAGATGATAACAGATGATGATGATGATGATGATGATGATGATGATAAAACTTATAATCGAATTAACAGGGTCACAAGTGGAAAAATGTTTGTAAAATCAAGATTCTATTCCATTATAATATAACATGATTATTTCATTATTTTTGACACAGATTATCTTAAATTTGATAAATCAGCTACAGAATCATCCACTATTTTCATCATTTTTGCAAGAGTACTTTTATGGGGAGGGGTTGACAGTACAGGCATACGCACTCTCACAGTTATGAAAAAGACAAAAATATTGATGTCAACTTGAAAAAATTCATCATCATTTTCTTTTGTATTTTTCAGGGGGGGGGGGTAGGGGGAGGGGTCACAGATAAAAGTATGTTTTGTACTCTCAGCAAAATGATTAAAATAATGAATGACCCCCTACAGCAAATCAATCATTCGAAATAATTCTTGTGTTATTATGACTCATTAAATAATGCTACGATTATAACTCTAGAGGGCAGCAGAGGTCAATAATAAGGCATTAAATAATTCTGTTTTTAAAACAGTTCATAAAATGACACACTGCACATAAAGGTATCATTTAAAGGGTCATGTAATTCATATAAATATATAACAAATTATATATATCCTTACAATGGGATTACCAAATGTTGACAAAGAGATGTAACAATCATTTTATATTATTTCAGCCAAATCAAAAGACAATATTACAAAGTTATCAACAATTTTCTTCAGATCCATAAAATTTCTCTTTAAGTTGCATGAATCAGATGAGAAGCTTTTCAAGGTGGTAATTTGAAATTAACCAATCGGATTTGGTTAAAAATTAGCAATCAAACTTGCCCATAATCAGCCAATCATTTTACGTATCTGCAATTATTGTATGAGAATCTGAAAAGATGTAGCTTAGGTAAGAACTTGTATTGTTATTTTAAATCTTCTTGTTACTTCCAACAAATTGCCCTTCTTAATTCATTGTTATTTAGATAGATTGATTGAGGGGGCTGTAATTAATAACTTATCAAACTTTATACAAGGGTAAACATGATGAGAAATCCATCAAATTTCATATTTTCTAATGTTTTTGTTTGAGAAGGAATGCTACTGAACATAAAGCCACACAACTGGTGTCGAGTTTGCAATAACCCAAGTGCACTGGCTCAACTTTGACCTTTAAACTTAACTAAAACGACAAGCAATCTGCGAGGGAACGTCAGGTTGTGTCCGCAGAATTGAAATTGATCTTTGTACAAAAATGATATGTACAACAATGAGCCCTGAGAAAACATTTAACAGTACTATTTTACTTTCTCAAAGGCTTGTAATTTCTAAATTTTCTTTTCTGAATAAGGGGTCCCAAGTTGGAAGAAACCACATTTCAGAGAGATTAACATTTCTTAAAACATCTTCAGCCAGGCACCTTGCTATTTTTCAAATAGAAAAGCTGTTTTTGTTGGAAGATAATTATATTTATCATGGTAGTAAGTTACAGGTGGAAATTTACACACTTTAACTACGGTTTTTATAACTTGTCATCTCCCAGTTGGATGTTTGTTTTTGCCCCATACGTTTACAGTCAATCTACTGCAAATTTAAATCATATTTCAAGACATTTTGTATATCATTAAAGCTTGGTTTCCATACAGTCACTACACGCTATCACCGACAGCTTTCGGTGATGCCGATTAGTCGTATCGAGGAGCCTTCCGATTGCGCTGTTACGCTAATGCATCAATTGCAGTAAAAAACTGTGACGATTATATTTCAACCACGCTTTAGTGTATAAACAATAATTCACATACTTAAACAGTTGTTCATAAATTTCCCAATCAGATGTATTTTGTGCATTGTATCATGTTTTTAAAAAGAAAATATTGAAATTACAAGCAAATTTGGAATCTTAATCTAAATTTTAGCAGAGGTCTACTCATAATGTGTCTGTTTTCTAAGCCTTTTAGCCTTAAAATGTCTACAAAATGTGCTTAAATCAACTGTACAGAAATAAAGACACTTATTTATCTTATATCGGCAGTCTCACAAGTGTTAGTTGGTAGTAACCAAATTGTCATTCTACGTACAAATAAAAATTTGGCTTAATTGCTTAATTCATCTTTATGCAGTTTAAATCCTATTTTGGTAGCTGGTGAGATTTTAAAAAACCGGATGATCACCAAGTTTTTCATCAATTAACTAATCAATTAATCATTCAATCAATCTGCAATATAACTGACATTTACATAATATGTCAATATAACTGACTGACTATTTACAGTAAAATTTGTTGTAGATTGGCTTTATTGGGCTTTTTTCTTTGGCAATTTATTTTTAATTTTTTTTTTTCAATAATTATACCGTCATTCTTTAAACATTTTTATCCATTTCATCACAACTTTCCTTCCATACTTTGTAGTAAGGTCTTTCCATTCTCTTGCAGGGCAGTACAATTTTTTTTCCTTTTTTGTGTACATCTGGGTAATTGAGCCCAGCTCATCCCATACCCCTCCACACTTTACTTCCGGCACAAAATTTTTTAAAATTCTAAAAAGATCATTGAATCTGTACCAAACTTTAAAAGAAACTTCTAAGTATCAACGCTTTCTTAAAATTCATTTAAAAAAGGAATTTCTCATAAATTCCTATGTCCAATATTGTTTACATATTTAAACCATGAACGTTTTAAAACAAAAACACCGATTGCTGCATGTATTTAGATCTCTCTCTATATTGGATGACATTCTCCTGCTAAAACAAAATGTTGACGAAACATATTTTTCAAGATTTCATCGCATGAACTCTCTCTTGTCAGCGGAATTCCATTTACAAGTCTCCAAACAGTTTCCACTTTCAAAACAGGTGGGCAAAGTCTAAATGTAGCACCTTTAACTATTGTGAGTGGTAGAGGGAGCACTTGAAGTAACGGTGAACATCTGAGAATAAAAAAGAACAAAATAAGTTGTTTAGTCTTGAAATCAGAATTACAATACAGTTTTCTTAAATATAACAAATAGTTAAATATGATCTAATACCAGATAAGAAGAAAGAACTTATTCATAGCATTAATTAATCATAAATAAACTGCTGGAATTAAATTTTAAAACTTTGTGCCGTCTATCACATTTTATTTGACAAAAACATGTGACATGCCCAAATAAGGTCATGATGACATCACATCATGACTATATAGAGGCACACCATGGCTATATATGGGCAATCAATTTTTTTTATCTGTGTCTCATTGGTGGTTGACAATTTATTTAATCGTTTTATATATTTAATTAGAGACAGAATAACATAAAATGAAAAAAGGGATTTTAAAGATTTATTTGCTTTTGTAACTCATACTGAAACCTTTATAGAAATATAAAGAAAACGAAACAAACAGAAGTCATAACAGAAAGATAGAGAAGAATGAAAATAAATGAAAAATGCAGAAAACAGAAAGATATTCAATGCAATGTGGACAATCGTAATATGTACAAATATTAAGATTGAAAGACAGCAGGCTATGTTAGTTGATATGGAAAGGTCAAAGGTGAAATATTCAAGAACCGGAACACAAGATGGTATGAGAACACAGCTGACAGACACAAAAAGCTTCCTCGCAAAATCAGGGTGTCCCTTACCGCACGTGTCCAAGGGTTTGCCTACGGGTCTGGCTGGGTGTCTAATGATACTCTTCAGTGCGATGGTGCTCATACACGGGGCGGGTAGGTGACAGACGGTAGCTCTCACCTTGCAATTTACGGTCCATTTCATTCCGTACAGATCTTTCCATCTCGTGTTCCATATCGACACTCCGTATGGATCTCTCCATCTCATGCTCATGGGGTATGTCATCTATTGAAAGAGAAAATGATTGCATACAATTGAATAAATATAAAAATAATGGTAAGAAATAACCAATATTTGTTTTGTACAATGTAGAAATTATGATTCTAGATGATCTTAATACTAAATCACTTTAAATATTTTAAATAAATTTGGAAGAAAAAAACATTGATACCATAGTAAGCATATTTTAATATAATTATAAATTTTATTATAATTTTACTGTTTTAAAAAAAATGTTAATGTTGTCAAGAATGAAGACAAATAAAAATTTGCTTTCATTGTTGATGTTTAAGGGATGGATTTCTGGCAGCTATTTACATCTTGTGGGAATCCAGTCCGTAATTAAACGTAAATCCTCCCTGGATATTTTCCACATCCTCTAAACAGCTTTCATCTTTGAAATTGATACGAACACAACAATAGAGAGAAGAAATCACTGTGAGTCAAATATATCGACGATCATTAATATCTTTACTATGTCTGTGATATCTGACAATACTTGAATCTAGTTCTGTGTTTTGTCATTTCCAGTTTCTATTAACAATTGGATATTTGTGGAGATAATTAGTAAACCAATCTATCAATTTTAGAAAATAAATTATATATTTTTAGTATTTAAAAAAAATATATTTTACACTTTTCTTGTAAATACCCAAATACAATTTAATTTAAAATTTGAATTTGTTCATTTATATACAGGAACTTTGTGAACTTCCTTACTTGCGTTATATAAGTATGAACTATTATTATTTATTATTGCATTTTAATAAGATATAGTTGTGGGTAATTAAAAATGTCAGTATCCAAGAATTGTGGGTAAATGAGTGTTGTTAGTAACTGAGAATTGTGGGTAACAGTCTTACCTTGGTCTCCATTTACTGCCCTCAATGGCTCGTTTGTGCTGATGTGTTTAATAGATTCGTCTCCAGAAATGCGACGTTTCTGTTCAATTTCCAACTCCTCTTGTAATCGCCTCTTAGCTCGTTTCTCTTTCTTCAACCTCTTTTGAATAATGGCTGCAAAAATGTGTTTAAAATGAAGTTATTATGATATAATCTTACATGTTTATCACAGAAATAAATTGTATTTTATTACCTAATTAAGGAATGTCTGTTTATGAAAAAATTAACGTGGGAAAAATTTGGACCAAACAAAAGGGAATAACAGTTTCTCATGTTGGATGCATTTTGCATGTGTACGTGATTGAATTTCCACCATTTCACTTTTTCTTTCCCTAAAACTTACGAAGATTATGACTCTAGACACATTTCCATTTTTCGAATTGACCTTTTAATTGCTTATTGTTGTAGTACATTCTCAACTTTAATTTCAATCCCTTCCAGAACTAACGACTCACAGATGCAACTAGCTAACAGCAAACATATCGTCCCCCAAGACCACATACAACATTTGACAGAAAATTGATCTCTAAAAAAAAAATCACTGTCGACCCCCAGTCGTTTATTTGTGGAAAGAAAAGGTCTTGACCCTGTCCTCATTTTTCTTTTAATTTATGAAACTAATACGCCCGATTATGTCTCAATTTCACTCAAATCTTCGGCTGATCTTAATTAATTCTGCTATTTTGAGGTTTGACATCAACATATTGAGAGCTTGAGAGCAAGTTTCTTTACCAATACTGATGCTATTTTAAGGAAAACTCTTTCAGAATATTTATTCTAAATTTAAAGAAAATATTGTTTTATTTAACTAATTATGTTGCTTGATTAGAGAGCTTGAAAGAGAATTAACATTTGAAAAGAATATTTATTAGTTCATTTCAAAATTTCTTACCTATTCTTCTAAGTTCATTCTGCAATTGTTTCTCCGATGCTTCTCTTAGCTCTCTCTCCCTTATCAACTCCATTTTCATCTCAGCTAAGAAGAAAAAAATACCATTTTAATTATATGTTTCATGTAACTATAAAATTATTACATACATTAATAAGTTATGTAATTATGTGGATGTGACACAGCAGTATGGAACCAAGCTTCTAAGTGAAAGATAGGGTTCGAGTCTAAAATTATCCAATATTTTATGTGCCCCTGGAGAAGTCATTTATCCACACTGTCTCTCGCCACACAGGGGAATATGTTTTTATGAAAATGTGCGATTACCAGCTGTAGCATTAGAGGATACTACCCAGGGGACTTGAATATGTGTTTGATCCGATGACCGGGGTGACAATGTGAAGGGCATGGGAGGTCTTGTCATAATGAGCTATATACAGTATATGACTAAAACCCTGTCCAAACTATCACATTTTATTTGACGAAAACATGTGACATGTCTAAATATGGTCATCATGACATCAAATCATGACCATATATGGAAATTATGTAACATGCTATCTACACGAAAGTAAAGTTATGATGCTTAAAAGGTTTTTGGTAAAAAAAAAAGCGCTGTTCAGACTTTAAAATTTTATTTGACAAAACATGTGACATGCCTAAATATGGTCATGATGACATCACATCATGACCATATATAGGCACACCATGACTATATATGGGCATACAACAGTTTTTTGTCAAAAATTTCAACTCTTACAGGATTTGAACCCAAAATCTAGATATTAAGAAATGGACCTTTTGAAATGAGAGGTCTGAATTTTCAAGGAATTACAGCTCATAAATTGAAGATAACGTCTGTAGTCAAACCTAAAAAAAATCAATTGAAACAGACATGCTTTTGAACGAATCATACGTTATCAATTTGCAATGAGACACAAAACGAAACAATTCTGTTTTCACTGAATTACAAACATTCTACTATGAAAATCATTATTTTGATTGTCAGCCAATTGAAGAATCTTGAAAAAATTAAGAGAAACAATATTTCTGCTGACCTGGGAATACATTTTCATGTTTGAATTCTTTTAATTGTAAGCTAATAACTTACCTAAATGTATAAAGTTAGAGATGCAAATATTAAGTTATATTGTTCAATTTGTTAGCACAGATAAACTAAGAAGAATTAATGACAATAAACTCAAACAAGGCAATATGACTCAATAATAGATTTCCTGACGATCAGATAAATGATCGATCTATTGACTATTTGACAAGTATTACAAGTTTGCATTGTACTTTGTTAACAAGGAATATATCTAGTTATAAATAGTATTAAGCAATACAGTCATCGACTGAGGTTTACAAGTGAAGTTCGATAAACTCAGTTACTCTTTCGTTTGAAATATAATTGCTAGAATTCTCTGTGGGAATCGAAGACAAGGAATCGTAATGGAGAGGAAATTTTTAGTGCAGTGATTAATTATTATACATCACAATTATGCATCTGTTTCTCCTCAAAATAACCAGAACAATAATAAGGTATGACAAGATAAAATCAATGAACATCTACGAGTGTTTTTTTGTGAAACAATTAAAATCAAAACCTGTGCTATTTTAAAGATATCAGATGAGTAATTTTTGACTGGACAGACATTAAATTTATTCTCGTGATTGCTACGGTAACGGTGTAGACTAGAAAGGAGTAATAGGCGGGGTATTTGAATTACGGTCTGAGGGTCAGAAATGTCAAATCAAATTTGCCACATTAATACTGCAAGTCAGTCCTGGTTGATTTTTTTTTCTTTAAATGTCACCAAAATCAGGTCAAGCATTAAAGAAAATCATTTCAAAGATGTCATTAAAATCACTATTTCCTTTGGCAAAGTTTAAAATAATCCCCTTGGCAATTACAGTTAAAGACAAGTAACTTGAATCAATGAAATTAAATAAACATATCATCTACAGTCAAAATTAGATTATTCTTACATATTTAGATAATTCATAAGAAATAGAAATATGAATTAATACCTTTTAAATTATTAATTAAATTTGTACATATTTACAAGTTGTCATTTGTCATTCGAAAAAAATAAATCTTACATATTTACTATATATTGAATACTGTATTACTTGTTATAAGTAAACACCCTAAGTAATGGCAACTGATAATGACTGTATATTTATTAAGCACATATTACAATAGTCTCTATGCGCTTGAAATGTGAAGTAATAGAGAGCGAGTATGTAAGAGGACATTTTTCAAACCATTACTAATAAATGACTAATAATTAAATGATGTTTCTAATCATAATTTCTCCAGACTTCATTAAATCCTGTATGGTACTGTATAAATATGTATGGTAAGTTCTTTTTCATTCATTCATTCATTCATTTTCTAGTATATTGATATTGGTATCAATGTAATATTCGAATATGATAAGTGAAACAGATATTAATAATATATTTTCTATAAAGCTAGAAAACTAATTTCAAATACGTTCTATGTATGGCAAAACAATATCTAATCTTATCTATACAACCTTAACCAAGATAGCATTAGGTGATATGTGTCTGTTTGCAAAAACTTCGCAAATGTTGTTAGACATTTTTTCCCCGAGTTTCATTTGAGTGGAGTTCATGTTCTATTTCTGTCGCCATGACCGATTACTCTCCATATAATCATCTCCAGTTACAACATTACTTTGAACTCTTCAACTTTTAACTACATTTTATTGTTAATACTACTAAAGAAGCACATACAGGAATGTGCTATTAATATTGTTCCATGATATTAATAATAAAACTCTGCTGGATTAAGTTCTGACTCCATCACAAATCATTAAATTCATAATTTATGTAGTTTTGATATTTTTTTAAACTGGAAATAATTAAAATATTAAAAAACTGAATTGTGGTTTGGTGGTTGAGTGCTCGGCTTATAATAAAAAATTCCTGGGTTCAAATCCTGGAAAACGCATCCCAGTCCCATATCAGAAACTTGGTTTACTTTGTAATATAAAATGATATTTGTATCATTTTATATTATATAATTTTATATTACATAATTTTATATTAGAATTATGTAATATAAAATGATATTTGAAAAACTATATTAGAAATTTTTAAATCACTCTATATTTTCTTCAAATGTATACAACTGAAATTTAATATAAAAAAATCTTCTTGTTATACTATATATTAAAATATAGTAATCATAGTGTTAAAAACAAGAAATAAATTCAATTGAAGGACCAAATATTTTATAATGTGAACAAATTTTGAATGATTATGCATTTTGGTTTGACATAGTTTAAACTCGAGTGACGTTGCAATAGTACAAAGTTTGCTGTCATCATGAAATTATTGACTGTATTGGCTGTAGTAATACAACCATCATAATCGACAACAGCCCCATGCCTGTCACAAACCGTTAGTTTTGATTGGCCCATAATGAAACGTGCTTATCTACAGCGAACTAATTTGATTATTAAATATTGTTACGTTTTCCTCCGACGTTCCATGCCTAATGAAGATACCATTGATAAATTTTGATTTTTTTAAAATTTCTTTTCTTAAAGACAAATAGAAAATAGTTGCTACTGTTTAGGTGACCTGGGACAGGAAGTTATTCAAGCCTTGTGGGAAATAGCGCGTCATATGTGCTCCCATGAGTTACGTAGAATAGTAGTAAAGATTGGAAAGTAGTGCAATTCGCATCATCATCAAGAAAATCTCGTTGTGGTCTGGTTTATATTTATCATTCCTTTATTTGGGGAATGATGGCGTATAACTACAGTGCGTCTTTTCTTGGTCGTAAGCAGCTGTTTAAAAGACAATTACTTAGTGTTTCAAAGGTTTGGTCACATAGAGCTGTTCGACTATTATTAATCATTTCCCATGTTTTACAAGGGGCTTGCGTTGATGATAACTTGCCAAATTTATTTTCCTATGGTTCAGGGAACTCTGAGAAACACGATGATTTTGTTTAATCACTCTCAGGGAACAATATTTAAAATTAACATCTAAGTAGTTGCAGTTATATTTAATAAAATTATGATTTTTTTTTTCCCTTTTTAATCTTTGATCCATAACTTTAGGTATTTCCTAAACTATTGATGAAGCTGAATTCCATTATTTTAAAATTTAATTCACCAAACATTGGGTAAGTCTTAACACATTATTTCATTCAGGTAGAAATATAGATAAAAAACATTGATATTATTTTGTCAGAAGTATAAAAAATAAATTATATTTCTACCATTAAAAAAAATAAAACAAAGATAAACACAATAATCACTTTCACAGAATGGACACATGACATGGGAAGTTATAATGGCAAACTATCTTGATTACTTACTAAAATCACGGGGGAGGGGGGGTCACAGAGACCATCGATGAGGGAGGAAATTAAACAAAATTTACCTGCATTACCTGTCAGAAGTAATTTTACTAACTGAACCAATCACAGGTACTGTTAAATCTTACAGCCAGTCAGGTGGGGAAATGACCTAATAACTGACTTCCAATTTTTTGTCGCACACCTGTCTAACTTCTCGCTCTGGCGCCCTCTTGTGACATCATTTGCTCTAATCAAATCTATGACCAATTGCTAAACTCGAAAGTAAATCTTTGTGAATCAGCTGTTAATGTTTTGTTTGATTCTCATTTAAGCCAATTGTTCTGTTCCTTCTGCTTCAAATTGATAATTGTGACGATAAAAGCCAGAAAACTCTCTAGTGCCATCTATAAATATGATTTATAGATATATATATATATTATAGCATGAAACCCTTAGGCAACATATAGTCATAGACATATCTTCAAAATAACCACAAGTAGAAAACTGTTTGTTTACATATAGTCTCTTTAACATATGTTTCTATATATGTGGTGACATTAACAAGGGCCCTGGGAAGGACACAGTTGTTAATTCACGCAAATAACTAGATTAATAACAAGACAAATTACCACTCCAGTTGCCCTTATGGAGAGCCCTCGTAAAAATCCTGATCGGGACATCAAATTGGTTAAACAGTTAAACATGTTTTACGATGTTTGGATGATTATAGGCCAATATATCGTGTCTTGGTTACGCAAACATTTAATGTATTAGAGAAAATCAAAGAATATGTATAGCATTCATTGTAACATGTTTTGAGCATGTCATTAATGGATAGGTCAATTAATGAATCAATCATTAATTAATTCGTCGGTGGGAGTTGCAAAGTGCTTTTTAATTATTCTATTGTATCGCTAACATCCTGGACATCTAATGTTCCATTTGGTTTCAATGACATTATTAGCTCAAGGGTTTGAAACAAAGCAGTGAAAGAAAACCTATCAGATAAAATTTCATTGACCTTCTATTTAATATCATATAAATGATTATAGAAGTTATCAATCTTTTATTAATTTTGAAACAATGCAAGTCAAATTTATACCTTATTAGTGCATAACAATGTCAATTCTCTTCCCCTTATATTCATATTTTTTTTTCTTTGTTGTAAAATTAATGCTGCCATTAATACATTACCATCTGAGATGAAGAAACACCTTCACTGTTTTTTATATGTTATTATATGTTTATATATTTATATTATAGTTTATTATTGTTTCAATTCTGTAATTGGTAATTTTCATTGCTGTTGGATTTTGAGCAAATAAAATATAGAATCTGTGCATTTTAGATCTTGCATCAAAAGTAGGCCTACACGGATTTTAAATATCCAAAATGTTCTATCTATTCAAATTACTTCTCCGTTACCTCAAAATCCCATGCAATTTTGCAATCTTAATAGGATCCAGATACCCTTTCCTAACTGGAGATTATCAATAAAAATCAAAGCGAATTAAACATTAAGTCAACATTAAGCTCTGACAGTTTGTTTAACTTATTTTTTTGCCGTCAATTCCACAGAGACGCGGCGTTAAAATAAGAATGTTGTACGCTTTCTTTAAGATATCAATGATGTACCAACCAATACAATCTTCACAGTAATTAGAGCATAACTTAACTAGTACCGAGTAATAAAATTCTATGAAATCTGTGTCAGCAGTGAATAAATCTGGTAAATATCCCTTCTGCGGCTTTGAACAAAAAGTCACAGTACTAAGACAGTTAACTTGGGCTGATTGGCGAAATGATTGGCAGGCTACAATTGGGTTAAGTAATAGTTTTAGTGATGTTTAAGACCCAGTAGAATCCTCATTGCGCACCAAACAAATGCATATCTTTTTTAGGACATTTCCTGTCTCTGGGGTTTATTCAAGGTGAGAGGCTGTGATTCCCATTACAACAATTTCATTGCACATACAAAGACTAAGTTACCAATAGAAAGAATAACTCACACTTATATTTCCTATGTTTCTCAAGAGGGATTATGTCTACAGTTCACCAATGTGCCTTCTCTATTCTTGAGTAGAATATATAAATACAATAATACATGGAGGACTTTGGCTATTATCTTTTTTTATACATATTCAAAAGAATCAGGAATTTACAACAATTTCTCTGTAGATAATATTCCCTTCTCTTTTTCATAACAAATTTCACACTTCATTTGATAATAATGAATGAATCAATCAATTAATCGGAGATTTATATACCGCATGTATATATTTTACATAGGGAGATGCCCGCAGTGCTGCTGTCTCAAAATTACAATGCAGGTAATACCAATGAAAAAAGAAAGAAAAGTACTAATGAAGAAGAAGAACAAACACTAATGATAGTGAGAACTTGAATTTGAAATGCACAACCAATTCCTGAGTAACTTTTTTTATCTTAGATGTGAATTATGTCAGAGAATAATCTGATGGGATTCATTCAATGATTAATGCAAGCTAATGGAAGGAAGAGGGGGCTTTCAATGTGTCCCCCAACATTAATCTCCACCACTGGCTACCCACATAATCACATGTAACAAACCAAATTACCACAGGATCGGAAACATAGGTCGTTGACATGTGATTGACCCAACCACCCCTCTTGTCCCTTTTTGTGGGGAGCACAATTACAAACTTACAATTTGCTAATTCTTCTTAATCACCCCTATTTTCAGTAAATTTGGTGGTTTTGGTATTTCCCTGGTGTAATGACATTAGCATTTATCCCCCTCCTCTAGCATTTATCCCCCTCTCGAACATCTACGTATCTTTCTCTGATATTAATTGTTTACAAGTGAATGTTCAATGTCACTGGAATTAGGGGTGACAGTTCACAGCTAAGCAAACATAAACAGATTGGAAAGCTTTTTCGTTTGCACCTTTTTTGGATCAATTAAAGGCGAGAGCCCCAACTGAACATCTGTGAACTATTGATATGTAGAAATTCAAACAATTTATTTTTAGATGTATAAAAAAAAATAATCATTCAAGAATGAATTGGAGTATAATCGTTGACAGACTAGGGAAAACCAAAATGTTTGTTATTTAGTATATAGAAATAAACATCACATTGTTATCGTTAAAACAATCAGTGTGTGAAAATCTGATAGTATTGTGCCAAACCCCTAATTGAATTTGTTACCCCTATTAGTAGATATTTTCCTCCTCAACACTTCTTAAGGTAAATTCTCACTAAGTTATAATTATATCTATATTTTTCAAGAATAAAAAGAACATAATATATCTACAACCTGTTGCTTTTTAAAAGTGGAAAAGGGGAAGATGGGACCTGTCACCAGGCAGGATGCAAATACAGGACTACTGTAGTGGCTACACCTAAAATTGCCAGCTAGGCTAGGCTAGGCCTCAGAGTGAAACCTTGACAGTACCAAAAGAACAACTTTTTTCTATGATTAACTACATACTAATTGTGGCAATGTTTATGTTGTGAGTAGAGTTGAAATGCAGATTTAATTATGGATAAAGTACACCATTTATACTTTTTGGCTCTGTCGTGTTAAGCTGTTAAATTCAATTAACTAAACTTTAATGCAATCTATTTTAATGAATTCATACTTTCAGAATTATTATCGAATGCAGACTTGATAATAGAAATTGCATTTCATATCTCTGAAGATATTAAAAGGGCGTATACACAAGTGAAACATTATGCAAGAAAATCATTCAAAATTGAGGTGAAGACTTATATTTGGAGATGGGTTTAGATACCTGCCATCAGTTAGAAAGTACAAATTTCAGTCAATTTTCAGTCAATCTAATATAGAAAGAATAAATTGAAATCATTGATTGATTAATATAGAAACCATCTGTCATAATACAATTTGTATTATTAAATTATTATAGAATGTGGCAATCGTCAGACTGTATTTTCATTTTCTGAAATAAGTTACGACATCTGAATGGTTATCATCAAACGAATTGTCAATGAATTTTGAAAGCGAGTGTTTATTGTTGAAGAAACTGTCAAATATCAGTCCATGACATAATTTCTACCTAGGTGAATGAA